CAGTGAAGCTCTTTTCAGATTAAAAATACCTTTTGAGGAAATTTATTTTCAGATGCCAAGTAAACTGCATCATGGCTGCCTCCCCCCCCCCTCGCCCCCCACCGAAATGGGCGAGACAGAAGCAAAGGTGGTTCTTAAAGAGACAGAGGCCAATTTCAAGGTTTTTAGAAGAGGAAGTGATGAGAAGATAAGTTTATTTTCTATTTAAACATAAAAACAGCATTTTAATAACAGCTTAAGGTGACATACATACTTTATTATGGTATAGTATTTAAATATATGCCCAAGAAACACATAATATTGGCCCTTTAAAAAACATTTTTGAGTAGTTATTTGAAACAGGAAACAATTTGTGTTGCTCAAGATTCACAAAGAACTTAGGGATAAGAAGTGCAACATGTGCCACCAGAGACGCTTTCATTTTGCTGTGAAACTGAAAATCCCACACATGTGTGTGTGCGTGTGTGTGTGCATGTGTGTGTGTGTGTGTGTGTTTGCATAAATCCCTGACATTAGCAAAGCTGTGGTATCTACACTTCCCCTGTCCTTTCTCCTGTCTCTCAGTGACACATTGACCATATCCAGCACGGGACAGCAGAGCTAAACCACCGTCTGGTCACTCATCTGACCCAGCTGCTTTCCCTGGAAAACCGTATGTGTGTCCAGCTGCATGGATTTTCTTCTGTTTTGTTTCTGTTTCAGGTTATTTTGTGTACAGACGGTGCCCTGTACTAATTGCTGGACAGAACCCTTGTTTGTATGTGTGTTCTGTGTTTGTGTGTTGAATGGGTTGAAGAAAGAGCTTGCCGTTCATCCTGGTAGCCCGCACTGCCCTGTAAATGAGCAGTTGCCGTTGAGTTAGGCGGCAACGCRGGCTAAATGACACGTCGTGTCAGCGAGTGTGGCTGAACGCTGAGGCCACAGCAGCGGCCCCAGGGCTTTTATCAGTCCGTCCACGAGGCCGCTGCAGGCCTCTGACCTAACCTCACACACAGCGAGGCTTCCTCTTCTAACACCTCTGCTGCCTCTCGACATGACCTCACTCCTGGCCTGCCAGCCTGAGGACAGATTACAGCTCGTGCAGGCCTGGAGGGGAAAACCTGTTCCCTGCAAGGCCAGAATCTAGGAGATTTTTAACTTTTGGTTTGGGTTCATCCATCAGCACTGAAGATGGATTTGTCTGCTTTTGAGCTTGCCTTTGGTGGAGGGATTTTTGCAAGCATTAAAGCCGTGTTGTTTTTGTTGCTCCGATTTGATTTGAGTGAGAAATCTACTTCTCCTCTTGTTGTTTCACAAGCTCAGACTGGTTCAGATTATTGTCAATTTCCTTATTTTTGTCTCCTTGTGGAAACAAAGACCTTGCGTTTGGATTTTCAACAAAGACCGGAGGAAAGCTAAACAAATATAGGTCCATCCCACAGCATTGTGCAAGAATGAAATTTGGCTTCAGTTGTCATCCAAGCTTGATATTTGAAGAAAACACTGGAGTCAAGGCCTTTTTCCTCAGTGTTTTTTTTTTGTCTAGGTAAACATCTGCTTCATGTTTTGAAATGTATCTCATGGCTTTGCACTGCCCATGACAGAGGGGGGAAAACAGTCTGAAGATCATTGTGGCTGTCTTTCACTAAATTCCTTTTTTCCCCTGCCCAGACCTTGTTTATCAAGCCCCTGTATTTAAGCTTAATATAACTCCTGTTTTGCTGAGAAAACTGTGGTGGTTTAATCACTGTCAGTGGTCCTACGCCTCTCGGGCGTGGCTCGCGAAGCAAAAAGGACCCAGTGCGGTCGTGCGTCCAGCTGCAAAGGGGCTTATTTTGTGGTCTAAAAATTGCAGGCTTCCCCATATGTTCCCCATAAACGTGGAATGCAGCGTGGGACTTGAGGAGGTTTTTATAATGAAGTGGCCGTCATTGCATCAAACACCATGGTCCTGCCTGCTTCTAGCGTAGCCATGGTTATTTTTTTCCTTCTTCTTCTACACATGCAGCAGCGCCAAGGTCCCAACTTCTCACTCACACCTCATTCAACTAATTACAGACCCTCTAAATGAATTTCACGTTTAGTTCCAGGGCAGATTTCTCCGATTTGAGGAAAGCCTTCACGTAAATTTCACGTGCAAGAAGCTTTCCTTGGGAATTTTCAACCTGCATGAACTTTGCATTTGTCACGTCTTTGCTTCGCGTCAAAACAGCAGCAGCAGCCGAGAAGTTAAAGCCGTAACTCCGACGAGGAGCTTAGAAATAGAAAAACTGCAGCTGAACTCTGCGATACCAGCTCAGCATTAATGTGTGTGCTGTGAGTCTAAGTGTCTACATGTGTGTTTTTGTTTTTATTGTCAGTGAGG